CATGTTTAAAATTGATGCCATTTTTTCAGAAAATGGTACCACGTAGGAGATTAGGTATTAGGAAAAATAATGTCTGTTTGGTTGGGTGTTTTTTTCAGACCATGCTATGGAAATTAATAAAAGCGTGGTCTTTGATGTTTTTTTTATAACGCTTAAATAACAGCAAAAATCCCCCCAAAATATTGTTTTTTCAGAAAACAACATACCAATGCGATGCCGTTTTCTTAGAAAATGGTGCTGAAGAAACAGCACTGCTTCCAAACATTACCGATATGATCCAATTCTAATTCATAATTCTTCAAAAAACAAACAAAAACAAAATTTTAATTCATAATTTGTATATCTGCCCTCTTACTCTCTCACTACTCTCAGAGAACGTTCTGAATGCGCAGAAAAGAAAACGAGGAAATCTGAATTGTAAGTTAGTGGATAAGAACGTGGCAAATCGGTCTTAATTAGGCCCACTATTTACTAATTAGAGCCTAAGTTTTGCCCCAATTATATGTTCGGTTTTTTATTTGAAAATTATATAATCATACATATTCTCAAACACCTGTTACTAATCAATGTTACTTGTGAGAGACGCTAATAAATGGTTGGACCGGCCACGTCATCCCTCCAGGTGGAAGGATTTTGACAGGGTGCGTAGGAAAGCTTTGCTATAACGAATCATTTTGGTTGTAAGCGATGGGAAGGGTTTAGGCATAAACTGGACGTATATGATGTAACCTGGACTTGCGTAGAAGCAATCTCCTAATCCTTTCTAGATTTTCTATATTTCAGGGTTCAAGGTCTTGTATATACAGGTGGATCCTGGGGGATGGATAAGAATGATGTCGAAGTCTGGACTGGGCCTGAGAGTTGTTAGTCTGGTACGTTGAAAAAGAGTGAAGGAAATAGGTTAAGAAGCAACTACACATTCCCACTAGAACATTCAGCTCACTACTGGTTACAGAGACATGGAGCTCTGATGCTTTTTATTGTCTGTAACCACTGAGCTCAGTGTTCTGATGACATGGAGCTCTGATGATTTTTATTGTCTGTAACCACTGAGCTCAGTGTTCTGATGAGAATGTGTAGTTGCTTCTTAACCTATTTCGATTATAACCCACTTTACATGTCTTATTCAAGGTAGATATGGAGTTTTCAAGAATATTTATATTTTCTATGGAAAAATTAATTTATAATTAGAAAGTTTATAGAAATCTTGTGATAGTATTAATTCAATATATATGAAAGATATCTAATAAAAGAAGTTTGAGCAAATAAATATATACTAGTGTAAAGAGTAGGTGCAATGCATGTGTGCAAGTGCAACCAAGTGTTAACCAACCTTATAAAAAAAAGAAAACAAATTATATTAATCATACATAATTATAGGTCTAGAAAATACAATGAAATGTTTAATAAATGCTTGAAAGCAATTTAAAATCAGTTTTGGGCGTCACTTGTGAATACTCTTGTTGTGGATAGGGCTGTCAATGGGTTGAGTCAACCTGATGGACCTGAACCGATTGGGCTGGTTTTGGTTATAGGATCTATTATCAGTCAGTTGATTTCAGTTCCTAATTTTGTTGTTTTGATTATTATCAGTTTGGAATTGGTTCTACCTAGTCTCAAACTGACTTAGACGTGACCCGAGCCATATATATAATGTGTAATATATTAAATAAATTAATATTACATGTATAATATTTTGAACAGGTTTATTATAATCAGGTCCATCGGGTGAGACTTGATTGTCCCGGGAATCGATCAATTTGATTCTGGGTCTAAAATCATAACCCTATAGGGCTTGGTTCAGTTTTGGTTCCTTAATATTTCTTGTTGGGTCAATTTTGATTCTATTGAAACTTGATCCATATCCAATCAATTGACAACCGTAACTGTGGATATGGCCTTTACAACAACTTCTTGCTTGAAAGTTGAAACCCTTCAAGAGAACCCTAGCTCCAAGGACTCCGGATCTTCTGCTCACGATAACTCTGCCTATGTCTACTCACAATACACTACCCCTGTGAATTGGAAATATCTCTCCCTGTATAATACTATACAGAGGATGAGATGTTCTCCATATATAACTGCGAAAAACACGAACAGAGAGATATGGACTCAGCACCAAGAACCCAAGAGTTTCCAAATGTATGTGTGTGTAGAAATGAGAGAATGAGAGTATTTTCAAAACTCCCCCTTTTTCTTTTCCTTAGTCCTTCTGCTTTGACTTTAAGTGAGTGGGCCCCATATCATAAGGAATCAATTTAAAACCAGTTTTAGGCGTCACCTGTAAATATTCTTACATCGATATGGTTCACAATTGCTTCATTTTGTTTGAAACCCTCGAAGAGAACACTAGCTTCAAGACCCAACATATCATATCTGTGTATAGAGATGAGAGAATGAGAGTATTTTCAAGCCCTCCCCTATGTTCTATTCACTGAATCACTTGTTTGTTTGAACACATTTTATGCGTGAAAAGCAAGTAGATGAGAATTAATCTTTTCTCCACTATGTTTTTATCGTTCGGGTCAACCGATTTGAGGTTCCCATGCATCTCTAATCCAGGTGTGGAGAACATGATCATAAATAAAATGTATAACAAACTATTAGTGTAAACACTCGAAGTAATAGAAAATCGGATCAGCAAAGATGAGATGCTTAAGATGAAGGATGTGAAATTTGTAGATAGTGATGGAACATATGAGTGTGAAATTCAACAATAAAGTATAAAAAATTACGGAGAAGTGCGAAATTGATATTAATTCTGAGCAAACATCTATTCCAAATGTACTTTGAATCTACAAATTTTGACCTTAGGCTGAATCGTCATTCTCCCAAAAATTTATCTTTTTGATAAACATAAGTATTGAAAATTTATTAGTAATTAATTGAGGCACAACAAATACGGCTATCCTTAAAATCGATTTCGCTCCTCCATGGTTGATCTCTAGGATAGCTCTTAACTCCAAAGACGTGTGTACTCATGACTTGGATTAACAAATCAGAACATTATGCACACTGAAAACACAGATAAAAAAATCAATGTAAAACTAGTAGAAACTAGACCTGTTCATGGGCCGGGCTTTTACTTTTCATAAACAAGATTTTGTTAGGCCCGAGCCTGAGCCCGACCCTAATAAAAAGCCCGAAGCCCGAACTAACAAAAAGATAGATCGGTGCTTGTGTCTGTGTTCGCTGCTGACCAAACAATAAGAGAGGAATAGAACAAAAGGGCAAAGAGAAAGGACTCGCTGCCGGTGCCTGTGTTCGCTGATGCTTGAGTTCACGTCTGATAAATGAACTGAGCTGAGATTCTGAGAGTGAGAAGGAGAAATGAGAAGAGGAACAACCGAACAATGAAGAGAGAGAGAGAGAGAGAGAGAGAGAGAGAGAGAGAGAGAGAATTCACAGCTGGTGCCTGGGTTTGCATGACTTGCATATGATAAATGAGCTGTTGAGATCGATTTTGAGAGAGAATGAGAAGTGAGAAGAGGAATGAGAGAGAGAGAGAGAGGACTCATAGTCACTGCTAGAGTTCACTGATTGCGCTGGTTTTGTCTTCCTGAGAATGTTTGGCTATGTGAGATTGTGACTGAGAAGGAAGTTTGTTCAGCTAAGAAAAAGAGATGAGTGATAAGAGAGGGGTTGAGAAGAGAGGGATTAATATTTAGGGTTAGGGTTTAACTTATACAATAGTCGGGTCTGGCTTTTTTAACAAATCTTGAGCCTGGCTCATAAAATAGTCAGGCTCGGGCTTTTAGGCCCAAGGTCAAGCCCGCAGGCAAAAATACATGCTAGCCCATCCGGGGGCCAGGCTGGTCCGTCGGGCTACTCGACCCATGAACAGGTCTAGTAGAAACCCATATTTTAGGAAGAAAGAAATAGCAAAATAAATAGGCGTGGCTATGGCATGTTGAGGATGGCCATCTTCTTCAAGACCATTCTACACCCGCCACCCTTACAGAGTTCTCTCTCACCCAAACCTTCTTCTTAGAAAAACCCATGTAGCATGGCCTTGAATACCACTATAGATTCATTAAGGAGTTCGAAAGGTTTGGTGAGAAAACAATGAAAAGGAATAAAATATAGCCCAAGACCATGTGTGTGACATGGCATGGCACAGCATAGCTAGCGGGTGGACACATGTGTTAGCCCGACCCAACGTGTGTGATGTTTCCAATCCATACACTCTACGTATATGTTTGGAACCATGGGCGCTTATTTACTAAACGTTTGTACTTGATTTATTTGTAAAATAGAGAAAAATAATAATGAATCCGTTTATTAACACTTAGGCACCACTAGACGCCATTAGCCACCACTAGGCGTCATTAGCCACCACGTCAACCAAATAGTGAATAAATGCTTACCCATTGGGGGAAGCACTAAAATGAAGCTTTCCCCAACGGTAGGCATGTACATAAATTAAAGCTTACTTTTACAAGTCTCTATATGTATGGATCTATGCATAATGGGGAAATGCTGAGCTCTATGTGACGATATTTTAATAAATTCCTATCACAAAACGTCCACAAAACAAAACCTATGCCACATGTCTATAAGACATAATAGTAATAAGCTCTGACAGAGTTCCCTTAGGCTGTATTTGGTTTGAAGGACAAAGTAGAGAAAGGAAGAGAAAGGGTATAGGTATCCCTAGATTCCCTACATTTTCCTTCAAACCAAACACAGTTTTATGTGGGAGTGGGACTCTTTTCCACTAGTCAAGAGAAAATAAAGTCTAGTATATTTGTAAATTTTGTAAAGAACTAGAGTTAAAAGAGAGGCACATTAAAGAACATTAAAACACATTATACATAAGAATGTAAAGGATTGCCAGGCCTCCCTTCAGTTTTTCAGTGCCAAATTAACGTCTGCATTTGATCGAAAGCAAGGGAATTTGGCTTGGATATTTTACAACCAAAAAAATCCTAAATTCCCAATAATATTCCCTAAACTTTTTCTTTCTTCTGAGTTCTGTTCCTAATTTCTTCTCTCTTCTTTCTGTCCTTTTTTTATCATTTCCTCCGTTCTCTACTCCAGAAAAGGTTGGCTACAAGAACAGCTCCGACTGCACTAACGTATAGTAGTTGGCAGCCACATCTTCGAATTCCCACAACCCATCAAAATACCAGGACAGCCCAGTGCTTTCAGGGTTGATACTTTCATCTTCCGCTTCAGATACTCTTATATCTCCCTGTGGGAAACCTAGCTCATCATCAGAAGCTTCAAGAATGTGTGTTATTTCAGTCCCCTTCTCTGCTTGTCCATCTTTGCTATTCTCAACAGTGGCCGCCGCAGACGATGAATTAAGATTATAAAGAGCGGAGTGGGTGGGTTGATTGGTGTGAGCCTCAGGAGCAGGCTCCGAACTGGGTGCGGACGAGAGCTCCTGTTGGAGGGTTGTCATTAAAGAAGAGAGATCCTGGTTGGGTTCATCCTCATCTGCCTCCAGAAGAGAAATGATGTGATTGTAACACCTATAACGCTTTATTTCTTCTTCGTCTTCTGTTTGATTGTTTTCTCTCTGACGTTTTAAGGGTGTCTCTGCCATTAGAGAAAGCTAGAAAGGAGAGAGAGAGAGAGAGAGAGAGAGAGAGAGAGAGAGAGAGGTGAAGTGAGGAAAAGAAACTGTAGAGAGTTGAGGAAAGAGTGAAGGGACGACAAGGATTTTATAGTGTCACGGAGTATACGGTTGGGGCAGAAGGAAAGCTTGGGAGACGTACCCATAGTCCATACCGATACAAACAGAAACGAGTCTGCGAGAAACCAAAACTTAACTCGCGGTTGACTACTTACCCGATTCAGATTCTTTGCTTTGTTGTCATGTTATTGATGATGGCAAAAACTCTTCTACGGTTCTATCCCACACCCATGATATTTGAACTCTGTTCGGGCCGTTTTTTCCAAACAAACCGAAAAGTCCTCGAAATACCACCCACTTTTTTTTTTTTGAAAATGCAAATTCCACTCACTGGCCGAATGGTCAGATGAGACTGCCATATTAGTATTAGGTAAAAGTCACCAAATATCTAATTTGATGGATGGGATCCATTCCTTCCTTCCGAGTTCCGTCTTGATGATTCCAAAAAGTTTGGACCTTCTAGATAAGAAGGAATAAAGAGAAGTTCAGATCGCATAAAAGTTACCTACATAACTTTAGACGTTGAAATGTAGGATTAGGACTACGGAGTTAGATAAGAAATTAGAATGGATTGGCAATCAGCCACCGGAACCTCTGTCCTCTGATAGTCTGGTGTCAGTCAGGCCTATCTGGCCTGGTTGAATTGATTCAGTTTGAATGTGGATGCAGTCACAACTGAGGATTCTTATGGGGGCGTGTATACATATCAAAATTAGGATTGTTTGATTGTTTCTCACCAAGCGTGCCTCAAGCCAACCACACGTCATATCTAAATATTATATATATCATTAATAAGTTAAATTAAAATGATAAAAATATTATGTATCATTAAAAAAATACATTAATATAATGATTCTGATGTTTTATATCATATCTAATGTAACTATAGTTCCAGAAAGGAATTTTTCCTGAAAGATTGATAACCGGTTAACAGGCCCAAATAAATTGGAGCAAGGATAAAATTAATTAAACCACTCAAGATCAAGAGGCGTGTTTGGAGAGAGCACAATCGAGAAGTGTTATTTTGGTTGCCATATATTAAAATCACAATCAAACACCTGACGTGAATGTTTTCCTTCCACAAAAGCTTGAAATGGGCCCATGCTCGTCCTACAAAGTCAACGATCAACATGCTGGAGAGTCATATGATTGGAATAGAATCCAAATTCCAAGGCATGCAATCCACCTAATGACCTAATACAACAACAGGAGCAGCCATGGGAGTTAATTTTCTGGATTAAAATCAAGATATATGGTCGGCAGCACCGGCACGTAATCTAACTCTAACGCTTAAAGCATGCTCTAGTTCAGTGTTGACCCCACAACACTCAAATCCAAATTGAAACGATTGCCTCGAAGAATTTGATTTTTATATAATGGGTAAGTAATATTTAAGTCTTCAACAAGAAAGAATAGGATCGAGGTAGCTTTATAGACATGTTCAATGAATCGAAATTCCATGATAAATTGGTGTTTTCATTTATATATATATATATATGCGAAATTAAAGAGGTGGGGACGCGCTACCCTAGCACCTTCTGGATTTCTTATCAACAAAAAAGAAGAAATTAAAGGAGTGGGCCGGTAGGCTGTGTTTAGTTGCGGTACTAGTATAAATGTATAGGAGTGCAAATGAAAAGAATGTAAATTCGGGTTTATTTTTGTTTTGAGTTTTATTTTATTTTGTTTCAAGTCTTAATTTACTTCATTTGTCTTACAATCATACAAAATAAGATAAATTTTAAACTAAAAACAAATCATACTTTACACTGAAATCATTTTCACTATCACAGTCTGCATTTGTGCAAATAAAATTTGCATTGCAACCAAACACAGCCTAATTAACGTTCAACACCACAAGGCAGTGGAGAAAAGTAAGTAGGGTAATAAGGGTTGAAGATATCAGATATCGTGTCTAAACTAAAACTATGTATAATTGGTCCTAATGACAAGTCATTATTTCTATCTACCTAAACTAGGTTACCAGCTGCTATTCCCCACTTACCAATCTGACTTTAGAGCAAATATAACGTTTTTTTTTTTTGATAAAACTAAGAGGGGGTAGCTTGATCTCAAAAACTAGCAAAACAGATAAAAGAAAGAAAAAAAGGAGGAAGATAAAGAAAAACTCAAGAACCCTGAATCCGATGAGAGAGCATCGTGTGCTTGATTTGCTTCACAAAATGTGTGATGGTAAACAACTTCTCCCTGCAGGTGATCCTACATCTGAACACAGCTGTAAATGATGCTTTGAAGTCTCCATGGGGCTCCACTTTCGTTTTTAGACAATAAATAATCAGTTTTGAGTTTCCTTGGATGATGATCGAAAATTCTTTAAAATTTAAAGCCAAATTATAGGCTTCCCAAACAGCCCAAGGGAGGAATTTCCTAATTTGAGGCATACCTTTGTCTATTCCACCTTTTTGTTTCTTTCTATATATCAATATCCATATCTATATCTATGGAGATTTCTATGATACCGAAATCAATATCCATACTTAAAAAAGTTAAAACAGTTTTACCTATCAAAATCTCACCTGAGTTTACATGAATGAAATTATTGATTAATTGGCAATTAATTTGTAAGGTACCATACTTTTTTAACCATAATGGGTCTCATAATCTTTGTATATATGACTATTATATATATATATATATATATATATATCATGTTTTTATTTAAAAATTTAAGTAATTTGTCAAATTTGTCAATTATATGATATTTTATATATTATTCCTGCAAAACAATAGAGAAAATCCATATATATATATATATATAATAGTACAAAACATAAGGTTTTATACTCTGCATATTTGTATTTATACTCCTTCCAAACTGAACTTATAGTTTGTAATCCAAATAATCTTGCTTTCATGTGAAAGAGACATCCATGTGTTTGTTAAAATCCTTATGCGAGATGGTGGATATATATACATTCATCCTGATGTAGATATTTAAATAATGATCACAAATGGGAGTTAGGGTGGTATGGTGATGTGTGGAACTTCGCTGGTCACAAGACTCACAACTCAATGCCAACTTCCTTTTCTGGCGCATTAATTAGGTAGTAAATGGCTTCCTCTTCTGTTCTCTTGTTTCTTTCATCTTTTTATATCTATATCTCGAAAATTGTCATCATATACTACTTTTCGTTTTCAACCCAAGAGAATCAGACATCCACCGTCACTATATTATCATCCCATCCATTAATTACTTAGAAACTTTATAACAAAGATGGAATTGTTGCGTAGAAAGGGAAGGATAGATAAATGGAGAGAGAAGGATTCTTGGCTCTGTTGCAAATATAACGGGTTATGTAATTAATCGCACGAGTGAATACATTAGTATTCTGTACACATTGAATTCATAAGGAAGGACTAGGTTTTCATGAATGGGGTCATTTGATCATATGGGTGGCATGTGAATAAAGAAAAATTATTTAAGACTCTTTTTGATTCACGGGAATAGAGGTTTGAAATTGGAATTGGAATTGGAATTGGAATGGGCTATTCTGATTTTAATTGTTTGATTAAGTAGAATCAGAATTCTATTTTCATTTTTGATGGAATGACATTCCCCCATTCGAGGGAATGAGCATTCCCTGCCCCTCCTTTGGGAATGAAATCCCATTCCTACTGATTTTAATTCTCATTCCCATTCTTGTATGAACCAACCAGATAATGAGAATGGATTCTAATTCTGAAAGATTTCAATTTCGATTCCAACTGTAAACAAACAGTCCCTTAGTTCTCCCCTAACTTTAGGCTGTGTTAAAAGTAGGAAAAACCTTTGCCAATCTTGTATATGTTTTTTTCTATTTTTTTCTTCCTTTTTCTACCTTTTACTTCAAACCAAACATAACTTTATTTGTTAACATCTAAAATTCCCGTGAAATGTGTATAGAATTACTAATCTAACTGGTATATTGTTCTGAAATGTGTATTTTTATAATACCAAAAATACTCCCAAGTGATGGGTGTTTTGCAAATGAACAAAATGCTACTGAGTTAGAGATGAGGGACCTCTTGAAGTGACATTGCTGAAGATGAGGACACATCAATATTAGGTGTTCGGTGTATTAAATGGATGGTCTTAATCAACCTTTAGATCTTTCCAACTGTTTTTTTTTTTTTTTCCATTTTATGCTGCTTTCCAACTGTTTTTTTTTTTTTTTTCTTTTTACGCTGCAATGATCTTTCCAACTATATATCATACAACTTAGTTTAATATTTACATTTGCCCAATATTAATAGATAGCTTAATCAATGTGTGAGTATGTTCTGGATCAACTGATAAAATCAGATTGTTAGTATGTAATTGGGGTATTCTTTTATAATCATATAAAAGAATAAGATAGATAACATGAAGAAGGTTAGGGCCATTTTACATTTGAAAATGATCATTTTGAGACCGTAAGGAAAAAAAAAAAGAAAGGTGTTTTAGCGACCAAACTTGCACCTTATCTTGGCCGCGGCAAACAAACGCAACCGACATTTTGAGCGACAAAGTTTCGATCAATCAGTACCGTTTTACCAGAAAAATATTAATTAGTTGCGTACTGAATCCGTGAACTGATCATCACATGGTCTATAGGTGTATTAATTGAATAAACAATGCAGAAACATTATTTCAGGTCGGAACTTTTGATCCTTGTTCTTCGATCGTCAACTGAACACGGATCAATGGGTCCAAGCTTAGTGTGCTCTGTATAACAAAAATCAGCATAACCAAGTGATTTATACTATAAATTTTTTTCTTTCGACTTTGGATATATAGAAAATTGATAATGTGGGCTTATTTTTTGGTGTAGGAGGTCTCTCATTTGTGGGACCCTTTCATATACCAAGTTGGTGAAACTTTACTGCAGAATTCTAATTTCAAACAACACCAAAGACCACCAGTGAATTATTAGGTATGTGGGCCGCATTTGCA